ATTTTTCCCCCGAGAACCCCCTGTAACATTTCATGAACCCCCAGAGGTTCACAAACCCCAGTTTGGGAACCACTGCACTAATACGTTCATTTTTATTTTCACATAACTTTTTCAGAAAATAAGGTGAACACTCAATCAGAAACCTAGTTTGGCCTAAACAGTTAAGTGCTTTGTTTACTACAAATTGCTGATTAGCTTGTGGGTAAAATAATCAGGGTCTATTAATCTTTTTCTTCGAGATTCTCAATCAACTCTTTGAAATGTTGCACCTTTCTCTGTGCTTTCTTTTACTGTGCTAGCAACATTTTCAAAGTCTTTTTTTGATTTCCTACATCCTCGATGTACCTCAGATTTCTAATTTTCAAAAACGTTCTAATGCAGCTCTGCTGTGTTTCTCTCCTGTCTCAGTTAACAGCCTCATCATCATCTCAATTTATAAAAGTTCTTGCTAACTCACAGAGATGGCTCAAGTCAGTCACAGATACAAACACTGCCTCTGGAGTGTTTTCCTCTTCCTCGCTTTCACCCCTGAGTGATGAAGTCCAACGCCTCCACCCCCCTTTTTTTTTTTAAAACTCAGATGTGGTATTATCTTTACTGCTTTTCTTGCCTGGCATTCCCCTTGGTTGAATTCTGTCTATCCATATGATCAAATTTCTCCCAAATGTACCCTTTCCCCAACCTCTTTCTCTTTCTCATGTTCTTTGGGATCTTCTTTTAAAGCTTTTGGTTACACAATGATGACAGAGGTACCAGAAATCATAATCTGGAGAATTTAAAGGATAAGACTACTTTACTGCTTGTATCTGTTAGTACCCTCTTTTCTCCAACTGCAGGATCCCCTTATTCTCACAGCAAATCAAGGCCTTTTTGATGGTGCTCACTCTTCCCTTATTCCTTGTGGTTGGCTTTGTAAGAAGATCCCAAATGTACTTCAATCTCCTTGAACCAAGAGGTGGATCTTTGTTGCTTGGGAAGCTCCATTTTGCTTTCCCAGACATTTCCGGCTTATCTGTTTGGTTTGCAGATCTCTTCATAAAGGACCAGAATGGGGTTAGCTACTGGACAGAGGGAGGGATAGGCCATAAGACGCCACTCTTGGTTTGTGCTGTTCATGCAGGCCTATTCATAGCCAAAAATCCTCAAACTCATCCAAGAGCAAAAACTTTGTTGGTCTAGAACCACTACCCAGCCAAGAGATGTGCAGAAGAAATGAGTCCAAGGAAGGTCTTATGGGGTGTGAGCAGTGGGTGTGTTCCCCATGTTTGTTAAGGAGCTCTAGGAGTCATCTACGAAGCACAATGCCTGCTGGGAAGTGGCAGTTCTAATCCATTTCCAATACAAGGTAATAGCTATAAGACACAATTCAGCTCTAAACTGAAACATCAACATAAATGTTTCTAAATCTGAACGGATTTAGCAGCTCCCATAACCCTGTCACTACCCAAAATAGTAGTAAATTGCAGCAGAAGCTGCTTCCTCAGTAGGTAAACACTTCCAGGTCTCTAGTCAATACTGAGACTTAATTAATTATTACACAAATTCATTAATACACAACAATTCATTAGTGTATCAACTGCATTTTTAGTGCAATTAGCCAGGATCTTCCGGAGAGGTTTGTGTTACCAACTCTGCTATGTAATCCCATCATTCCATATTGGTATAAAGACAACTCCAGTTCGTAGGTTTTCCCTTGTTTTAGTTCCTACCACTCTCTTATTACGTCACGTCACTCTCTTTCGCAGGATTCTCTACTGAAAATATCTATATGGTCCATTTTCTTTAACTAGGATGCAAGACAGTCAGTCAAATTTATAAATATATTTGTATTTAAAAATCTTTTGCCAGCAGAAAAGGAGGGAGTAATAGTGTTAAGATTCTATAATTTATAATCTCTATTTTAAGTACTTCTAAGCAGCCTATAAAATTTATATATTCTTAAATGCACACGAAATACTGTTTTGCAATTAGGGAACTATATTACATGAAAAAATATCATGCTAGATTAAGAATATACGTTAGTGAGAAATACCTTTATATATTATACCATAACTGTACTACTGTGTTGCCTTTTGCAAACTTTTGCGCTTTAATACTGCACTTCAGCCAAATAGATTAAATAATAAAATGTTTGTAAAGTAGTATAAAACTTGTAAAATTATGTACAACTATCATTTCTAGAAGTGCGTCACATGAGGATACTGAAAGTTCTGATCTGGACTATTTGGCGTGAGAAGAAACTTAAGATGGGGTCAGTCCGCCCCGCCCTTTATTGCCTTAGTCTGAGACCATGTTCACAATTATTTAGCAACAACTATTCATTTGCAGTGTCTTGGCATTTTGGGGATAGTGGGGATGCAACAAGCCAAGTCTCCATTTCGGCAGAAAACCTGCATAGGAAAGCTTGTACATGTCCATTATTATGCTGCTTCTAGACAGAGCTCTTAGTCTCACACCTTGAAGATCATCAATATTTACCACATTAATAAATTAATAAAGTTAAAACTGTTACTCTGACAATTTGTGAACATAGTTAACCTGTTTTTAAATTTTTAAAAATACATTTAAAAACACAACACAATTAAAAAGTAAAAATGCTAACTTTAAAAACCATATTTGTTTTTCTTTCCCAACCTGCATGGGGTTAATCTTCACCGAATGTTCGAAGCACTCCACACATTCTCTGAACTCTTTGTTGCGAAGATAGAGGAGGCCCTTGGAGCGCTGGGCCCGGGCACTGCGATGCTTAGATAACTCCCAAGCCTTGTCATAGTACTGGTGATCTTTAAGAACATCGCCAAGCAAGCAATATAATCCTGGTGTTTCCTTTTTTTCTAGCTCTCGTCTCAAGACTTCTTCTGCCTATTATAAAAACAAAAAGGAAATGAGCCTGTAGGCGGTGTGGTTCCCTGGTGCCCCAGAGAGGGACGAGCTCCGCCGGACACCAGGGTGGGCGGAGCCAGAGCACTCCAAGCCCGTCCCCCAGAGGGTCAGAGGCTGGACAGGAAGTATAAGAGCTCAACCCCAGAGCTCACTCAGGAGGCAGCTGCTGGAGAGGCCAGACACCTCCGGCCCAGCTCCCACTGGGGAGACTCCAGCAACCAGCAGTGGACCTGGAGACTGGCCTGACCGGCCGCCACTCGACGCAGACCCGTGTGTGGGAGAGTCACTGAGCCTACCCCTCACCAGCTACCCTGAAGAGTCGCTGACCCTATCTGTTGCCAGCTACCCTGAGGATCCGATGGAGATCGACCCCCCTGAGGACATCACCATGACCCAGGTACCTCCAGAGGGTGAGTCGGGAAGTAGCCTGGGGGCAGCCAACCCGAATCTGGCTGCAACACACCCGGAACCCATTTCAGCGTGTTGCGGCCAGGATCCCCACAGACACAGCAGCGGGCCTTTGGCCACTGGTAGGGCCCCGGGTGCAGTGGAGTGGGAGGGCCTGCCACCCAAGCCGCTCGGAGCCTGAAGCCTGGGTGTGCTATTTACCTGTGTTTGCTCAGCCCCTGCCTGAAGGTCTAAGCCTTGGTCTCTTTACTGCCCCGCCCTGACCCAGGGCCCGGGTTAGTTATCTGTTAGTTGTTATCCGTGTGTGCTCAGCCCCCTGCCGAACGGCTTGAGCCCGGACTCCTGCAGCCTGACTGATTCCCCAAGGGGCCGGGCCAGGACCAAGGGAGGCGGTGTGGGTGCCCGCTGCCCCGGAGAGGGACGAACCCCGACGAACCCTCTCTACAGAGCCCCTTAATAGGAGAATCCATGGTCAACCTAACCATATATTACCATTGTCACTCAGATTTTACACCTTAGCAGTTTTTTACATAATCTAAGAAAAGTCAAGAAATCTGAAAAACAAAATATCTTGAACAAAGTCTGTGTCAGAGATAAATCCGTGAAAAAAATGCTCCATAAGTTCTTTTACATCTTGTAAAGCCCAAAGACTAACATTTAAGTGCTGTTATTAAAATTCTGTTCATGTCTGCATGAACCTTAAGGCATGATTTACTTATGTTAAATCCTAAGGCCATATTCATTTTTATTGCAACTCTAGTGCGGTAAAATGAAGTCATTTCAGAGATAAAATTTTTTCAAACTGTTTTTCAAAGAACTCAAGGTGAAATGCAAACTCTTACATTTTCAAGCAGAGGACTATTTGGAGATAAAACAGACGACTATGTGAAAAGGAGAATTCTTCTCCAGTAAAATTTTGAAATATGTACAACCTGGGAGCACCTCAGTGTCAAAATGGGATTAACCTTTACTTCTTTGTACTGGGAAAAGAGTCAATAAGTCAAAGCCGCAAATAGCTGTTCCCCATTTCATGCCTCAACCGTATCTTTTGCCCAACGAGCAAATACCAACTCTGGAAATCCAATCTCTATCTCCTACATGGTACCGCACTGCCGCTACTAATTAGGCTACTGACAGGCCCTGCCTGCTCTTGTATTCTTCTTTGTTTGAATC